TGAAACAATCCTTAGAAACCTAGAAGAATGTCCAGGCCTCAAAGTAAATGGAGAAAATATTAATAACATCAGGTATGCAGATGACACAGTTTTAATAGCAGGCTCCGAAAAGGACCTCCAATTGCTTCTAGATACTGTTGTTACAGAAAGTGAACATAAAGGATTATTGTTGAATGTAAAGAAAACAGAATGCATTGTAATATCTATTTTTTAAAAAGCAGCAAATCCTAGGTGTAATCTCATTAGCAAAGGTGAAAAGATCAAACAAGTCCAACAGTTTAAATATCTAGGCTATATGATAACATCTGATGCCAAATGTTCCACAGAAATAAAAAGGAGAACTACAATGGCTAAGGCTAGTTTTAATAAAATGAGCCCAATCCTGAAAAATAGAAACATCTCAACGAACACCAAAATGAAAGTCCTGAAATGCTATGTTTGGTCAACCTTTCTATATGGCTGTGAATGCTGGACAATCACTAAAGACAATGAAAATAAAATAGAAGCAACAGAAATGTGGTTTCTTTGGAGACTGCTAAGAGTATCGTGGAAAGAAAAGAAATCAAATGAGGTAGTGCTTGATGAAGCCCACGTGGGACGCTCAATGTTAAAAACAATCAGGAAACGACAAAGGCAGTTTTTGGGACACCTGAATAGACATAAGGGTCTTGAATATCTAGCTCTCACTGGCAAAATTGAGGGCAAGCGAGGCAGGGGTAGGCCCAGAACAACATACTTAGGGAACCTGAACAAATGGGTAACAGGGAAAGATCAGAGAAACGTAGCTTTTTTTAGAGCATCCGAGCAAAGTAATGAATGGAAAGCCATGATCGCCGATTTCTGCCGCAGATCTGGTACTGGATGATGATAATACGTGGTTGTTTGTACAGGTGATAGTTTTGAACAAGTGATTGTCAGAGCAAGTTCGACGTTACCTACGTATATCCGCACAGTCGTTCCCGGAACCACACCCATGAAAATGGGCTGAAGGGCAGTAGTAGATAAAAAAAAACAAAGTCGAGTCTCCCCCACCACGTCCCCCTCGCCTCCCCCATCCTGCCCCCCCCCAACATCCTGCTCCCCCACTCTGCACCCCGCACTGCCTCCCCCTACCTGCTCCCCCATTCAGCTACCCCCACCCCCTACCCACCCACCTCCCCGAACTACCCCCAACCCCGCCATTGACACCTCCCTGAATGCAGACGGATTGTCTCCGCACGCACTGCCCAAAAGGAACCCGGCTAGCGTGCTGGAACGTGAGTCTTGGGGCCTGCGTTGGGAAAGTTTCTTCCTTTCTGGAGCAATCTCTGGGTGTCTCAACTGATGCTCTTCTTAAAGGCAGAATGAAATGCTTTCCAAATAAACGGCTGTTTTTTTAGCAAGGCGGATTTAAAGACACTTTCGCGGAAAAAAGTGATTTAAAAAGGAAATCCTTTCCGGGGCATTCCCAGGTATTTTCAATTCGAATAAAGCAAGGGAAAAAGATGTTTGTACTTATTATATATAAAGCTAATAGATGAGGACTCATCATTATTTCAGTGAGTGTAAAGAAAGCTCAGATGTATCAATGTACGTTTGTGCAAACACGACAAAAATTTTTATCTAAATGAGATTTTCATCAAAGTCACAATAACCTGTTCCTTATCAAAGAACAAACAACAGCACAGATTGTTATTACAACTCCGTATTCTTCCCCTATATTCAGAAGACCGTTAGGGATGGAGATCTTGTAAGAGAGAACACAAGCGAGAACATGATTTCTCTGTCTTAGAATTACAAAATTCGATCTGACAGTTTTGGCTGTTTGGACTTACTAAGGCCATGAGGTCAGAAACTAAATTATTCGGTGTATCTGCTCCATCAAAACCGTACGTTGATTCGGAGTCGTTATTAATATATTAAAAGAATTGTATCATAAAAACCTCGACTTGTCGTGGAACTCAAAAATTTTAATGTGAAAATAATTTCTCAAAAAGGAAGTACTGAGACGATAGAACTTTGTAATACTAGGGTCGCAATTTATGTACGTCTACAGAATAATGAAGAGGTTAACTTATGACATGACGTTCTAGCTACTTATATTTCGAAGTTTCTGAGTCTCTAACCCCCCCCCCCCCCCCACACACACACACACACACCCTATGTTTAAAGTTTTGTTTGTTTGTTGCTGGGTTGTTGTTGTGGTTTGTTTTGGGGTTTTTTTGGGGGGGGGTGGGGGGGGGGGGGGTGTTTTTCATTATGTTTGTGTCGAGAAAGGGTTGCCACACCCCCCTCTACCATTTTCAAATTTATCCCTGACTTAATATAACTGAAGTGCCGGTGGCTAACCTGATGTCACGGAGGTTCCTTCCCTTATTGATGATACGTCCCGTCCAGTCCAGCAAAAGCGTACTCCACGCAAGAGGGGTCTATCCGGCCCGATCGCCACAGTTACACACCGAACAATACGTAACAGAACGTACCGAAGTATAGCGTGTCGATGACAAGACGTATGTGAAGAGCTGAACCAGTCCTGACACTGTCCTGTGGAGTTGATTAATCATTTTTCATGTGGATAAGTAAATGCTATGCACCCTTTACAGAGTCAGACTTACATAGCGTATCTATAAACTATCGATGCAGG